GTCGGTGACGAGGCAGCCTAACCCCACCGGTGACCGCCAAAGGGTTGGCGAGGGGAGGGAGCTGCGCCGACACGGCCCAAGCCCAGGAACACGCCTCCTGCCGCTCTGCCCAATCGCAAAGCCTGAAGGAAACTGCGGAAGGCCGTATTAGCTGTGAATGACGTGTCCTTCGACCATTCAAGCACAGCAAGGCGGGGCTTGGCGCAGGAATGGTGGGGGGGTGAAGAAAATTGAAGCAGTTTACGAAGAGCTCGGCGGTGGCACCCCTTCCAGGAAACGCCTCTGAGTGAGGCTCCACCCAATGGAGAGGGGTGGGGCTTTGACCGAGAGTTCGAGTAACATGGTCGAGGAAAGGACGAAGGGATACTAATAACTGACGTTGCGATCTGCCAATCGGCTGTCGCGCGAAGTTTCTGAAGCTTCACGCGTATGATGAAATCGTGCAACTTGACTCCTGACCGACCTACTTATAACCCAATCAGAGCTCAAGAGGGCCTCGCGAGCCTTTCCTGAAAGGAAAGAAGGCGGGGACAGGACAGGAAATGACATGCTCGTGTAACCCGCAGCATCTACGGAGAGCCTAGTGAGGGAAAGATGCGTTTCAGAGTGATTAAGCGATGAGCAGAAGGGCAGCAACAAGAGGGAGGCGGAAAGCTGCCTGCTCCAATAAGGGACGCGGACGGCCTTAAATTGGCCAATGGGGATGGCGAATCCTGTGGGCCTTAGCAGAAGGTGACGGATGTGGTGCCATTTTAGTTCGGATGTGGAAAGCGAGGTTCCGCTTTTGCCTCCATTTAATGAAGGTGTTATGTAACGGCTGGTGACGCTTGAGCCTTTTTCTGGGAATCGGTGAAATGGGGCTGGCGTTTGGCCACCGATTCAGTGGTTTAGGAAGAATTTCTCTTTTTCTCTTACCTGTCAGGGCAAGGAAGGAGTAAAAAAGATGAGTTGGTCTACTTAAGGTTTTGCTTGTTATTGTCTGTAAAGCATACATGTTCAAGAAAACAGTGAGGTAGGTTTTTTTTTTTTACAGGGACACTTTTTATATGTTGACATTGTTTACCGCGTCATTTTTTGCCTATTACTTTCCGGTTCATTTTTAAAAATCAAAACCGTGATGCACAGTCCTATTCAATAGACGCTGCCGTTGTATACGATGGAACCGACGTAATTCTGAACAAATTAGTTCAGAAATAGGTCCCACTTTTTTCGGCAGGCCATGTTTTAATATTTGTTCTGAGAACCTTATTGCCTGTGAGCCAATAGGGAATAAATGTAAGTGCTGAGCAGAGTCACCTCTGGCAACTTGCCTGATTAGGGACGCTCGTTCACAGATTCACACGTTGCTCACAGATACACGTAACTCATTCGGTTAACATAAATTTCTCATGCTATAAACCAGAGATTGCAATCATGCCAAATGTGTGATCACTAGCTTCAGTTGATGCCTTGTTATATATGTGCACAACAATCTAGTGAGCTAAAAAGAAACAGTAACATTAAACATAAATCTATTTTACATTTTAAAAAGTTAGTGTAAAAGAGCCATTTCAATCATTTAGCTGGCAGCATTTTTCATTGACCAGATACCCGATATTTGGTTCTAATACTAGATATGTAATATTTTTTCAAGTTCAGTGTCTCTGTAGTACTGCTTCAAGCCACAGAAAATGTTTTTAGGGGCTGCATGCAGCCCCACATACTAGGGCTTTAAGGCCACTGCTCCTTTGTCCCTAGAAGGGTGTCTGGCCAGCAGTGTGCCTGCTGACATTTTTGAACCCAAATTCCCTGCTCTGCCTGATTTTTTAAAAAGTTTCTCTTAATTAAATGAAAGGGCAACCTTATCAATTTAAATTATAAATCAGTAAATAAATACATTTATATTTAATTTTGTGTTTTAATTCTATAATAAAAATAAATTTCATACTTTAATTATTTATTGATAACAAAAATGAGTTTCACAGCATTGTGCTTGTTTCTTTGGTCTGTACTTCCTTGCAAATGCATAATAGCTGAAGTCCTGGTGAACATCAAGTTTTATAGCGAGCCATTTTGAAATGATTAAACTCTAGAAAGCCCATCATCTCAATATTTACACAGTATGGCTTCTGTGAAGCAGGAGGTCTGCAGCTATCAATGATTCTACTCATTCATATATTAGGGAGAATGTCAGCTCACTCAGTTCAGAAATAGTAGTTTCAAGTGAATCTAGAGATGTATTTTCTAGAAAAATAAAGGAAGGATATCTTGAGCTAAACTGTACTGAAAAGTAACTAATCTTACAGATGTACTCAGATGTTAAAAGAATGATGCTGCCAAGTCTGCCTAATGCAAAAATGTAAGCAAGATACTTTTCATACAATGGTGTTAACAGCAGACTTTCCTCCTTTGCTGATTTTGGAGGCTTTGTGAAGAATAAACTGCAAGGAGAAAAATTCTGCTCTCATTCTTTCAGTGGAAACTCCCTTGGAGAAATCACCAATTATTGCATAAGAGCATCTGCCACCTATGCTTAACTGGCAGCAGACTATACCAGGCATAACCTCACACCCTTATTCTTATCCAAGAAAACTGTTTTCATTTCACTTCTGGAGATCAGAGGGCAGACAAAATAACAGGATTTTCTTAAGATCAGTAGAAAAAATGCAATGAATATGAAACCATTTTTTCATTATAAATGGAAATGCTACTGTTTAGTTCAGGAGTAGGCAACTTGCAGCTTCTGACTTGTCTTCAAGAACAAGCCCAAGTAAAATGCATCTCAGTAATCTATCTAGGAAGTTACCAGAATGTGGATTATCATGGCCAGGCCATCCCTATATTAAAAAAGTTACAGTCAGTGGGCCAGCTGAAGCTGGTCAAAAGCATTCAGAACCACTGAACCCATTTGTGCCTTGAGTGACAGAGATGAATCCAGGAGACTATGAAGACTGTTATTTATGCTCCTTCAACAGTGGAACCGTACCTAGAGTCAGAGACCTCAGGTCCATAAGCCACCAGTCCAGTACCTCTGTCTTGTTGAACTCAGTCTCAGTTCATTGGCTCTTACTCAACTATTACAAACATTGGTTCAAAATCTGCATCATCTTGCCTGACTTTAATATTAGATGGGGCTGTCAAACATATAGTATACTGGTGGCTACCCTCAATCACCTCACCCAATAAATATCAAATATCAAACTCTAAATATCAAAACAGCAAGAGTGACAGAATGGACCCCTCTGGAACTAACAACCATGTGGCCAAATAAGTCCCCTAGTACTGCTCTCCGGAACCATACGTGTAGGTAGTGTTTGGCTTTCTTGCAGGTCTTTCCTGACCTTCCCAATGATCAGTGATTGTCCTTGTTCATGAACTTGTAACTCATGATATCCATATGGTGGAGCAGTCAAAATTCTGTTGTTCTTAGAGCTATTCTGCAGAACCAGCAAATTGCAGATCAGAAATGTTTCAGCAGTTAAGAGTATGTAGAGGACATGAATGGATGATGCCTTCAAGTTATCTCGACCTGCACAGAAGGCAACCAAAGCTCAGTTTTTCCAGTTTTAATGTATTTCCAAGCTCTGGGACAGGGCTTCTGGTCTTTTTGTTGCATGTTGTATCAAGGTAAGGTGAATTAAGAGGTGGTGGCCTGCCTTGTTTCCATTGGCCACCTGAGTTTGTTAGAAGCATATGCACACACACCCGGTTCCTGGCCACTGATTTTTGGAACCATTCTCCTTTTGGCACCAGGGCTCTCCCATTGTCAAAGAGCTGTCTCTCCCACTTCTTTTGCTAACCTTGCCAGAACTAGGAGCAGATCCCCAGGCTGCCAAGGCTTTGAGGGCTGGCAAAAAAAAAAAAGGCATCTCTGTACCCCCATTTCTCCTATCCCATTGATGTGTTCTGGGGGATCAGAGGACTATTGGGTGAAGGAGGGAACCAGCACTTACCTGATACGATAAAGCTGCTTCCCCCCATCCTTCAGGCACTGGAAGAACTAGCACCAAAACAACTTGTTTCCCCTTTTTTTCTCCCCTGACTTTTCTTGCTATGGGTGGCAGGAAGAATGGGGAAACAGGGTTTCTTTTGTCCTCCACTGCTTCTCTTGGCAATGGTGTCAGGAGAAATTGGGGTGAGGGGGGAGAGAGAACTGCCAGAGAACCACTCTGGCTGCCAGTTCTCTTAGTGATCAGTCTGTGGAACTCTAGAAGTGACAGCAGAAAACATGGCAATCATCTGCTACTAGTAACTGGCACCAGAGAACACATGCCTGGCCTGCCTTTCTCCTCCCTGCTGCCTCTTTTGTGAACAGGAGCCTGCTTCTGCTTCACTCCTGAGGCAGAACAGTTTGGAAATGTGGTCAGCACATATTTCAGCCAACATATTTTTTGCCATCTCCTGCACTGGAGAACTGTGCTTTGATGCTGCCTTGTGGAAGAATTCTTTAACTGGGCTAACAGTTGCTGGAAGGATTACTATCCTTTCAAAAAATGGCTATGGCCTGTAGCAATATTTACAGTACAAGCAAACCATCAGCAGATGAAGCAATTCCTGCTATTGCATCTCTTTCAGGAAATAGTTCTAGTTGTGAAGTTTATAAAGGGAGAGGTCACTTCCAGAAAAAAAAAATCAGCACTTGCTCCTCCCCTTCCCTGGAAAAGAGTACTGTAGGACCTTTGCCAATTGCATTGTAGATTCCTGGAACTAATCCTCAGGTTTGTAGTTTGGAATTGCTTTTTAGAGCTTTCTAGCTAAAACTGGATTGGACATGATAATAACTCAAAGTAACCTTGATCCAAGCCCTGTCCTGTTGACCACCTCTTAAGTAGACCGGCATGAGAAAGAATAGTTTGAATAGCTAAGACTGAAATGGTAGAAGCTGCCTCTGAAAGATCCAAGCTTAATCTCCAGGTCTGGATCTCTCAACCCATCTAGAACTGCTGCATGTTTCCAATTCTAGTTTGGCAACAGCAGGGTTAGGCTTACCACAGATTTTGTCAACTACATGGCTATTCAGAAGCATTTGACTAGTCTGAAGCTGTTGAGTCATAATTGCAAATAATTGCCTGTTTACTAAAAATACCAAATTTACCTAGCATCTTTTACAACAATTATATCTCCTTGGGGCGATAGTACAGAGTTAAGTTGCCTTCCTCTGTTATTATTGCATTAAATAATTATCATTGAGGAGAGGAAGGATATAGTCTATGAAAAAGGAGTGGAAATTGGAGAAACACATCCTGTACATTTCCATGGGGGCAAGAAAGAAACTAATTTTGTGGTCCTTGAATCCACTCAAATCCAAGCAGTTGCATGCAGTTATGCTAAATTGCAATGAAATTACTTATGGAAATTCATATGAACTAAATGTATTTAATTGGAAGTGTATTTAATCCCAATTTAAATTCTGCTCCCACAGCTGCATTCTATGCATTTCTTTTCACAAGTAAGCCCCATTAAGTTCATTTTGTCTTGTTTTCTATCAAATGTGTAGAACTGCAGCCTAATTTTGTTGAAATTATAACATTTCAGTTTAGGCATGTTGTCCTGCTGATTTCTCCATATTCAGTAAAATTGCTTTTTGCTCCAGTATCTTGCCTTCTCTTGAATCATATCCATATTTTCTTTCATAATGTAGTTATTCCGAGTCAGGAAATCAGAATAAACGAGGAGTTCTTGTAAATACCTTCTGTGTTGTGAAGTGGTAATTAAATACTTTATTAAAAGTAGTGAGAATGGTTTCAGGGTTTTTTAACTTTGTTTATCTTAGGACTGATATGTTACTTTTCTTTTTTTAAGGAGGATCCTAAAAGGCTGTGAACATATGCAGTGAAGTATTTGTTAAGTTATTTTATTATGTATATTAATAATTCAGAGCTTGTATATTGTGAATTTAAATGTATTACAAGGATCCTTGGGAAAATTCAATTTTGAAGGGCAGCATACACATTTTAAAATAAATATATGAATTAAGTTATTTTTCCTCACTGATCTGTAAGATAGGTTACTGTTCTTCTTACTTGGAAATGTGAAGCTGAAAGAACATATAAATGTGAATTGTAAAAACATGGGAAGTGCTTTCACACAAACTGTCATATAGAACTGCTGTAACAATTTATTGACTCTGTCATGTGAGTGGAGACATTTTTTTAGGTTCACTCCCAGAAAACAATCTAGGAGGAAGAATCAATTTTGTGATGCCATTCAATTGGCCCTATTAGGCAGTTTTACATGTAAGTGTTACATATGGCAATATCATGGGAAGAACAGTACCAGCTTTTCCTATAATCTCCTGGTAATGCTGTGAAAGACTCCTTCCTTCCGGAAACCAGTTAACCCTGGGAACTCCAGTGTATTCACAGATGCCTCTGTGCCTACTAGGCTTCCTGCCTATCTAATTAATTTAAAAAACAAAATAAGAACATTGAATGCTGCAAAGCAAAGCAGTTTCCAGCATAACCTTCATTTTCAAGACTGTTCCTGAGTTCTGAAAGTTAAAAGGCTACAGCCCAGAGCTTTGGTTTTACCTACCCAGGGGGGGAAAAAAACCACGACTATTCTTGAGGTAGGGAGCTTGATGGAGGGTGGAGGGCATTCTGGGGTACTGAAGCTTTGCAACTAGTTATGTTCTCCACTGCAGCCATTTTATTAGTGGGCAACTCCACCCATGGCAAACAGTTTATAAGAGTTTTCCTCAATGTTCCACATGCTGTCCAGTGCAAAAAGAATTAGTTTATGAAAGCAATACTGAACTAGGAGGACTAATGGCAGTTTTCTCTGCTTCCTCTAGGACCAATCCATGCAAAAGCAGTCCTACAACATGACCATAAAACCATGCCTTGACTTAATCCATGGAGGATTATGTCCACTAATCACTGTTGTTCCCTGTGCCTGAAGCAAAAGGTGGAAAGAGACATCACGTGTTTGAATGCAGGTCACCTCCCACTGCCTACAGAGAGGTTTGTAGATAGGGCTGATGGGCAGAATTCTGCTCCCCCTTTATATGTGTTCAGGCAACATGTGGAGAGAACTACAGATGACAGCTGAGAAATTCACAGCTGAGTTGGAATTTTTACTCAGGTCTCTCAAGATGCTTTCAGCTTCCTACCTCCAGGTCCCTATATAAAGAAATTCTAATTTTTCCCTTCTCTGCCATATGGCAAAGCAAGGGAGTGCTGCCTTCCTTGCTAAGGAATAGCAATAATCAGTTAATCACTGCAGTTCATTATGCATACGAGATGAGGACTCTCTTTCTGCATGTATTATGGAGGAAAAATGACCTATGTGAAACAGCCCCAACATCATCTTCCTTCTGGAGCAGGCTGGAGAGGAAGAAGGCGTATTTGGGAGTGGAAAGGGAAGAACTGGGTTGAGCACTTTCAGTGGAGCATCCACCAGGGTGTGGTTTTGTTAGCCTGAACTGCTCCAACTTGTCCTGTGAGACTTGCAGATGTAGCCTAGGAGCTACAGGGTGGCCTAAGCTATTTCAAGCAGCTGTTTGATAATGTTACCTTTTCTAGCACAAGAAAAGGGCGTAGACAGCACACCATCAGAAGCAGATTGCCAGGGTAGAATGTGCTTGGCAACTAAAACTGGATTTCTCCAATAGGCACAGGCCTGTGTTTGTTCATTGGTGCTAGGGCCAGCAGGTCAACAGTCTGAAATTACAGAAGCTATTAAGCTGTTGCATTATATGCCTACCAAATATTATTAGAAGGCTTAATGTGAGCTGGGGCTTAAGCTGTAGTCAGTTCTTAAGGATTGGGCTCAATTCTGGACGTATCATTAGAAAGCCAGTAGTCTGTGAACTTTCATTCTTGGGGGCGGGGAATTAATTTTAATTGGCAATATATTGTCAGTGACCACCTACCTCCATTCATTTCCAGCTGTAACAAGAAGATCAATTTTTAGAGAGAGTATCTTGCAGTAATCTATCAAATATTAACGGTCATTTTAGCACACTGTGCAAAGCTTTTCCTGCAGGACAGGATAGGATCTATATGATATTTCCTGAAAGCATATTGCCACATAAAGATGGAAGGACAGTGACAAAGAATAATGATATTACAGAAATTCAGCCAATGGTAATTTCTCTAATATCCAAATATTGTGAAATGAAGACAGTCATCTCAATGGCTGTGGTGAACACAAAGACTGGCATGCATTTATTTTAAGTTGGCGTGAGCTTGAATATTCCTTTAATCTGTTTGTTTATATACCCCTTTATTTATTCATTTATCTGTTCGTTTATATACCCCTGGACTCAGAAAGCAACTCCCAGCTATTCATCATAAAAGTATAAAAACCAATGCGATACTACCATAAAATAATAGGAACACATGGGCATCTGTGTGTTGGCATGAATTCCTGTAACTGTCTTGGGACAAAATGGCAAGCAGGGACAATTTTATGGTCCATTATTAATTAATATGCCATTATGCTAAATGTTTACTGTTGCCTGCTGGAGGTGAAGGGACAAAGAGCCTTATTTCTAGTCCTGAAGGCTCAAGTCTTTGCACATAAGCAGAGTGCCTTGTTCTTTTTATGAGTCTGCCTCTCCTCACAAAAGGCTTCCAAGGTGTGCCATTTTAACGCAGGGCAAGTTATGGAAAGTAACAGATGGATTCCTCTGATTTTGTTTCCACTCCCACAAAGCAGTCAGTCTCCTTAATGTGTGTGCGGTAGGGATGGGCAGGCATTAAACCTGCACCCAAAAAGCACTTGATTGACATCACAGGTGTAGTGGAAAAAATAAATCTAACAAACAAAATGGAGACTGCACGCTTTTCCTTCCAGTCTTTTGGATATGACTAGGATCAAACCCAGTTCATCTCTTCTCCTAATCCCATCAGACCCAAATTGACCCTCCCTGCCCCCAGACAAAGCTCCCTGTAATCCCATCTAAACCAAAGAATAGAAGTCTCCTCACCAGTTCATAGCACAGTCCAAAAGCAGCCCTTACAAGGGAGTTGCAACATAATAATAACCTAGAGAAACCCCAGCCTTCCATCCTCCATCAGCTGATGACCTCAACATTCCATCTCCTTTAACAATGAAGTTCCTCAGCTCTGCTGCCCTCCTGAAAGGCCCATTTTGCCTAACTGTAGAACTCACACCAGGTATAGGGGCAAGGACCAGCCTAGCTTCCCCAAATGTGCCAGCCAATGAGATCCCTAGGACTTCTTGCCTTGTAGCCCTCAACTTCTATAAAAATCCTTGTTTTCCCATTGCTTGGGGTACCTCTTTCTTGTAAAGCAGGCACCCATCCTTGTAAGAAACATGGTTCTTCTCTTCTGCGTTGTGCTCCTTCTTCAGACTGAGTCCACAGCAACAGGTGCCCAGGAAAGCTATAGGTGGAAGCAACCAATAATGAGTGAACTCCATCCTCAACTAATGCTGCAAGGAAAGGCAGTTTTGGCATATCTTTGGAAAGCATAGTCAGGCATTACATGGGCAGATGCCTCCATGGAAGCCTGATGTCTCATTTCTCTTGCAGCCCAACCAAAATGGCTGTGGAGTGCAGTGCCCAGCAGCCAGAGGTGAGGGATCATGATTGCAGCAGCCTAAAGTGACCAGAAGAACTAGGCAGATCCCAATCCCTGACTGTGGCAGCAGCCACATGGTCAACGAAGTGTACTCAATTGTGTAGGTGGCAAAAATTGGGTCGGGAGAAAAGGAAAAACTAAAACTGGACAGCTAAAGGCAACTTGAAGTTACCTCGGCCATGGGCTGGGGATGAAACAAAAGGAATGTTATGAAGACCTGTTATATAAACCAAGTTACCAGGGCGAATGGTTAGGGAGATGATAGGGTGAGCCCTGAGGCAGGGGAGACCTCACTAGCAAAAGTTGTCCTCAGGCCACTCCAGCAATGCTTTCTCTAGGAACAGGATGCTCTCACTGGAAGATAAGAGCTTGACTTGAGTTGGTAAGACCAACAGCCTTAGTTGCAGTGAAGATCAACTTCTAGAAAGGTTAAGAATCTGGTTCTCTCTCTCTGTGTTCCCCAAAATTTAAATCCTGCATTTCTTTCTCTCACCCTTTTGTTATAAGGGGCTGCAGGCAGTCCATTTTCCATGCCAGCTGGTTGGTTTCACCTGGTGGGTATTTTCAAAATGGCCCTATCTGGGTCCCAGAGTCTTGTTTCCCACCTTGCCAGCTCCAGCTCCCACATCCATTCTACCACAGAGCTTGCCTTTGGGTTGGTCATTCTCTCGCAGCCCAGCCTACTTCGCAGGGTTGTTGTGTGGAAGGCAGGGATATTATATGTGCTACCTTAAGCTCTGAAGAGAAATACAAATGCAGTAATGTATAAATATTAATAAACTGTATCAAAAGGATGATGCTGGGGCTCCGATATTCCTCAGGATACCGCCTCAAGCCCAGAGATGTTCAAATAGGGATGCACCGCTTGTGTTAAATGTCAACACAATTCCTTGGGTTTCTTTCCCACTCTGGCTCAGACAGGATGTCGACTTGGGGCTTGTAGCCGGAGTTAAGCTACTGGTAGCAGGGTAGTATGTGGGGAGAGGACTCCCTCATCCCTATACTTGAGATCTCATATTGTAATTTGGGGGTTGGAAGCTTTGCTTTGGTTTAAACAGGAACACCTGATCAAAGCCAGATATCAGTGAACCTTCAGGGCGCAGGAGCCTTGCTAGGTAGGGGTTACTGCATGAACTGTGCCGTCCCATTAATCAGTGGCAGGAAGGGAGGCTGCAAGAAAGGAACGGATGCAGACGCTTTATCTTATCCTTGCACAGACAGAATGGGTGTGGAATGGACTTTCCTCATCTGCGGCAGCTCAGTGTTCCTCCCCCTGTACCGAAAGGAAAAGAGTGGGGAAGCTGGGAGGCAGAGAAGTCTGTCCCTGAAGTTAGAGTCTACAACTGTTGCTTGTGTTCTGCCTCCAAAGGAAAAGGCACGCTCATACTTGATTTGTTGTTTCAGAATCTTAAGCATCTGAATATCAGTCTCTCTTGTCGTTGACATTCTTCTTCCTGATCATGGTTGCTTGAATGACATACCTTTCAATGCAAGCTGAGTGTCCCAGAGAGAATTTTTAGCCCTTTGTTTGCCAAGTGGGAGTTGACCTTAATAGGTGGCTAAGTTTGTCTGGAACCTGGAGGGAAATTGTGCAGCTATATTTGGTGTCTTCTGAGTTTTGAAGATGAGATTGTAGGGTCTTGGGGAGGCGCAGTAAAGTGTTACAGGCTGAGACGGGAAGGATAATTTAAATCTCTAGTAGTGCTGATGTAACTCTTGTTTCAAGGATTCCCCAATAAGAAAAGCATTACTGTATGATAGAGACCCACCAGTCAGACTGAACTTTCTGACCTCTCCTACTTTATCCAGCTGGGGAATACTTAGCCCTTCCACTCCAGACTTTTTCTTTCAGCCCAGCTTCAGAAAGATTAGAAAAGACACCACTTTGAATTACATTGAATTTAAAAAATAAACCCTGTGGGAATCCTGAAACACAAAGGGTAGCTGTGCAATGTGCAATTTTGCATGTGAGGAATATTTTAAGGAAAAATACCCTATAAACCCATGTAGCAAAATCTCTTGATTAAAAAAAGGAGTTTATTGCAAAAGAGAGAAGAGGGAGAAGGCACCCACTGCACAGTCAGCATTCCTAACTAAATCAACTATTGTAACTATCACACACTACCTAATAGAATTAAGATTCCAGCCCCCCAGATATGTGCAGAGTTTCTTGCAGCAAAGATATTCAATTGATTGTCTGGGTTTCCTGCTTGGATATTGGTAGGCAAGCCTCCTTCCAACTTCTTGCTCCTTCCCCTTTTCAGTACTAGTTTTATGGTTGTATAGATTGCAGACGCACTGCAAGCCAGCCTGATTCAGCTCTTTGGCCTAGCCAAATGAAAGACTCAACCCCTGATGCCAGCCAGCTGAAAACCTCCTAGTGGCTGAACTTGCCAGATGTTGTAGGGGTTTAT